CAAACTGAAGAGCAATGTTTTCCGCTAGAAACGTTTTTTTTTTCTCCCGTCAGCTTCAAACTGCAACAAGCTTTAAAATAAAAATTAGAAAATCGCTCAATATTTTATTACCATTATTGTTTTAGAAAAAGGTGAGTAGTTTATTTCATAATATGCGAAAATTTTAAAACTCTATGTCCGATACAGTTTTAGATTTTAAAATCATAAACCTCAAACTGTTTAAAATTGAAGCGATTTTCAACAGCTCAAAGAAAACTCAGAAAGTAAGCTAAAATCTTCATACAAATTTCGGATGAAAATTTTTTCCCTCTCTTCGATGTTGCAAATAGTAAAATTCTGTTATAATAAGTTTTTTGTTAAATGAAGATATACCCTTCGAAAAATCATTTAAACACTAAATGGAAAAAAAAAATAAATAAATTGAATTTTGTAAAAAAACTCTATTCCCAAACTATGACTCGGCAAGTAAAACTAAATACATCTTTGAAATCAGTGACCTCAAAACTTTAAAGTTCACGTACTTGCTTCTCTAATGCATTCTGACTGAGAAGAGAGTCATTAATAAGATATGGTAGATTTCTTCGCCGTTTTCGAAGTATTCGCGAAAACTGATAGATAGCGTACGTGAATTTACCTTAGAGGACTCTATACTGATCAAAAGAGTAAATGAACATGCTCCGATCTAACGCATTTAGTAAAAAGAATGATAGCTGAAAAGCAACAACTGCGATGTTAACCCAAAATAGATGGCGTGATTTCATCGCAGATTGAAACTGTATAGAAATATTCGTATTTATTTTCCGTATAAAGACAGTTATAAGTTTCTTGCTTAGCAACTATGACTTTCACTAATAGCTGAACGCAACCCCGGTGATATGAACTTGAGCTGGGCGACGTTGATCGCAACGTTCTAATACAAGAGCCCTGAGTGGGGAGCCCTTGGAGTGGTTTTACGAAATCTTATGTAGACAGTGACAATCTTGTTGTTTTGAAAATCAAAAGTGCAAAATTTTATCAAGATCGGTAAAAAACTGTAGATTTGTGTGGATTACGCACTCATAAGCAAACAAACGGAAACTTATCTAGTGTCTATGTACAAAGATGTCTCTCTATATAAAGTGTAGTCTTCATATATAAAGATGTCTCTTTATGCAAAGTGTAGTCTTCATGTATAAAGATGTCTTTCTATATAAAATGTAGTCTCCATTTATAAAAATATATCTTTATAAAGTGTAATCTCTCTAGATAAAGATGTCTTTCTATATATAGCTTCTCTATATTAAGAAGATTTTAATTAATTTTTCTACTGTCATTTCACGGGTCAAGCTAGTATTTAATAATTTTAGAAATGAATCTACGTTTTAAATCGGTTACTTTGTTAACTAGCAACAGAATAAAGCAGAAATCAAAATTAAACATCTTATACTTTATTGAGCGATAAAAGCCTGCCGCGTTGAAGATGAAAATACTTTAGTTAGGTCACTGACAACATATTTCTTTTCATTCCCCCGAGTTTGCTGATTAAATTGGAAAAAATATACTGCGAGTGGCAGCCTGCTTCTTATACGTCGCCAAGTTTTCTGATTAAATTTGAAATATAAATATCTTACGTTTTGCAGAATGCCAACACAGATGTTTGCTAATGACCGATGCACACGTCTTTATCGCGGTACATTACATTTTGTTAGTTACGCAATGACAGACCCTGTCGTCTAGTTCGATATCGAAGCATCTGAAAACTTTATAGCTGTCATGCAAGATACAAGCGCCATGACATTTAATGGACCTCCTTTCCAATTCCTTCTAAACCCGCTTTCCCAAATTACACCGCGCGCATCCACATGTGGCGCCAGCCGATTTTCGAACACTCAGCTTACAGAATTTGCATTAATGTCTGGCAAATATTAATTAGCTTCTCCCAAACATCAACGAGATAGATAACACATGACATGCGATGATTTGTCATTCCTCATAATTACGTAAACCTTTGCTACGAGAGATGCCTAGTAAGCGATGAGCTTCACGGAAAACATGTTACGCCTCTACCCAGAAGGGAATAGTAGTTAAGTAATGCTGAGGTACGTGACAAGGCATTAGAGCAGCTGTGACTCAATTACAAAACTATTCGAAAATATAGGATTGAATTGGCCCCCTCGACGTTATTATATTTAGCTCATTGTTCCTGCATATGCAATGCCTTATTTGGTATTCTATAAGTATTGAAGTTTTCTCTCTCGCATTGTCTGCGGGGAACTATCGGATTTGTGTTCACTGACGGTGTTTACCCACTTTAAGAACGATTTCGGAGGGCGTTTAATTAATAGCTAAATTGTAAAGAATATTTCTTTAAATATTCGGTCTGAAAGCTTTTTTTCCTGGATTATAAGTTCCCATCGTGATTTCCATCATAGGAGGACTTTTCGTTAAATTTCCAGGAATATTGATTTTTCACTCCTCTTCCACTATTTTTCAGAGTCCATACATCGTGATGGACTTGCGCTTAGAAAGAGCTCTTTTCCAGATACTAAAGCCATAATTGTTCATAGGCGAAACGTTGGTGGACTTTGAGGAATACACTGAAAATGTATATATGCAACACATGCACCAGTCTTAATTTTATTCAACGAATGCAATGTACTTTTCGAAGTAAGAACTCTTGTTTTGCCTTGATGAAAGTTCACTCTTTGAAGGTCATTGGGCAATAAAGAAGTAATTTTTTTTTCTGTAAATATTGGACGTAAAACTTTCTCATGAGAGTACGTTGATTTTAACATTTTTTCCCACTCTTTTTCTTTTTAATTTACCATTGTAAGAGAAACCTCCGATGACCATAAACCTCTTACATTTCCTTTGCATTTACCAAATAAGGTTCATACTATCTTGTCTCTTTGTTTTCGACAATAAAGAGGCCTTTTTATGTTGCAGTCATTCATATACTTTATCGAGGGTCACAATGTATATTCCCTTGATTCTCACTAGTGTATTTCTCAATTACTGTAGAAAGTGACGAATGTTAAGAACTAGTTAGCGAATAATCGCTTAAGTTCGTGTAACAAGAAACAACAAGATGGAAAGGTAACTAACCCTTTATTATTCCAATAAGATTTACCAAAACTTCGTCTTGGAGTGTACAATAAAAGCCGACACTTGGGCTTGAACTTAAGAGACTAAAAATTAAACTAAAACTAAGATTAACTAAAGAGATATAGCCGAAGCCATCAAGATTCTAATCGAGTTGGCCCCTTAACTCTATTTGAATACGAAGCCTATCAAGGGCCTGAGTACGGCTGAGGGTAATAACAGCTTTGAGAGAGAGAGAGTAGCCGAAAGGCACACGCGCGCAAATCAGAAACTCTAAAAAAACTAAATTATTCTAAAATGAATACACACCCTCTGTACTTCCTGAAACAGTTTATGAACTCCGTTTATCATAAGTAGACCCCGGATATTGATGACCTAAAAATTGACTGAACTTGTCTTTAAAAATGGGCCTGAAAAACGCACTTAAAATAGAAAACTTTCCCTAGGAAATAAAAAGAAAGTTAAAAAGCCACAGCATTGTAAAACATTAGCAAATATATTAAAACCTACACAATTACGCTTACCTGTCATTTGAATTTTATTTTTTTCGTCTGAATTTTCAACCTTACGCAAGGTATTAGAGTTGAACTGAATGAAGTAGTTCTTGACATTATCAAAAGGAAAAATTCGTCTATTGCGAGTATACAAGTTTTTGTATTGTGAGATGCTTCTCTCGACATCTACTGCAGTTATTGAAGCAAACTTTGGGCTGGGGGAACTGCACCTCTTTTCTTTAACTTGTCATCACTTTCAAAAGAGTCTGTTTCTCATGTGAAGATGTGGGATATTTTCCGTATAGTCGGGAAGCCATATTTTTAGTGAAAAGAGAGTTGAATTTATCCAGTGGAGTATTTAAAACTTTTGACTAATCTGTCAACATAGTTTATTGACTCGGTAAGCCCCATACTTTGCTCTTGTAAACATCTAATAGTTAAAAATAATGACCCTGAAACTCTATTTCATATACGCAAGATTTTCTTTTGTCTGTGGGGAAAACATTCTGGGAAAATTGAATCGAATCAGGACTCTAGGAGCTGAGCCAAAAAAGATAGTAAACGAGGGGCTTTTATGGAGGTAGAAAAACATATTACACACCTGTGAATGTGTAAATCGAAGAATGTGTCTGCGGAATAGATTGTTCCCCTCTGCATGTACTCTTATGGAACACCCACAAAATGTCTTAGAGAGCTTAGAAGAGCCGGTAGACATTCATACATTGTGGATAAAGCCCGTGTTGACAGATAAAGAACTCAGAGATTACATAATCCTTTTTCTATGGATAGGCCATGCTTGCCTTGTAAAATGAGTTCACAGAGGTTGAGAATGTGTTTTCAAGGGTAAGATTATTTCTCAGTTTGATTGCTAGAATATACCACAAAATGCTCTGACATTTCTTAAAAAGCGTCATAAATTATCTTAAAGAAGATTTAAAAGGTAAAAATACTAAAACAAATGACAAAAAAATAAATTAAAAAATAAATCAATTGCATATGTCATCAAAATCCGGGCCTTGATTATAATCTGTAATTTAGTTCATTCATGGTGTTTGTCTTCAGGAGTGGAAGTTTGTCATCGACTTTTAACTTACTTTCTGATAAGCTATCGAGTTCAAATTTTGCGATTTTAAATCGTTAACTCGTCATCATCGCACATTCATTTTCTCCTCGTCATTTGAGGCTGTACTTCAAGTCAGGCTTAGGAGCGCGTTGTTCATCAAACACCTTACCGAAATGAAGCTGAAAAAATATTTTAGCCAGTTGACTTTTTTTCACACAACTGTTGTTTCCGTGGTTACGCATCAAATCGTTTGGCAAAAAAAAAATAAATAAATAAATAAAAAAATAACCATGCAATTCCTTATTTTAAAGTAACAAACGATTTAACTTTAATGATTAACATTTATTCCTTTTTATTTCCAGGAACAGTTACTATTGAGTGTCATACCGGCTTACATTGCTGCAGAAGTGAAAAGAAGCATCATGCTCAAAATGGCTGACGCGTGTCAGAGCAATAACACCCAATCCAAGCAACGCTTCCACGAATTATACGTGCAAAGGCACAACAATGTCAGGTAAGTTTTGAATCTTCTCGATGTAAATGTTCAACGGAATATTCTCTCTCTCTATATATATAGAGAGAGAGAGAGAGGAAGCTGAACGTGTCGTTAGCCATCTCATAGGCTAATACACTATACTCTTGATTATCCGGGTGCAGATAATCCGGTTTGCAGATTATCGGTGCGTGGAGGTATCAAAGCTATGCGCAAGAGTGTGTAAAAAATAAACATGCGCAAGTTCGAAAATGGAAAAATATTCTACCTAATACGAAAAGCCGAGATTTATTTAGCTATGCAGGACTAATAATTGAAGCTGTGTGTCAAAAATTTAAAATTCTTCGAAAAGGACAATAGGCAAAACATTGAGGAATGGTTCGCTGGCTATTCGGCCGAACCGGTGTTTCGATGCTTGAATGATACGAATATCGTTTTAAATGTTATCAGGTGAAGAAACAGAAAAATATAAAGAAATTATAAGCGAAGGAGGTACTAAAAATTACATTAGTCTTAACAGCAGTGACTTCTGTCGAAACTCCGTTGGACTTCATCGACCGAAGAGAAATTGAATATAGTAATAATAAAGCATTTCGAAAAATACGCAGTGAAACTCTACAAATATTTAAACATTCTAAAAAAAGTAATATTACTGTTTTTCAAGAAATAAACACTTACAAAATGCATGAAAATTGATAGTTAGAATTATCTGTGTTTTTCTATTATCCGTGACCTGCTACGTCACACAGTACGGGAAAAAGTGATTATTAATTTCATCGAGAGAGTGCAGTGCTGCAGAGCAAATCATGCGAGACATATTCCATACATTATTTTTCATTCTTAAATCACAACATTAACCTGTTGTAAGTGTCTTAAAATGTTTATGATTTTCTGAGAATGAAGTATATTTTATTAAATGTAATCAATCTGGTGCCTTCACTGACAAGCTGTATATCAATCACAAAAAACTGCATAAATTTAAACCCGTCTAACATATATCCTATTTTTCAAGAAAAAATGTTGTACTTTTTTTAGCCTAAAGAGGCGTTAGCCCTGAGGAGCTATTATTCTCCTAACGGCATTTTGCGTCGAATTACCAAACCCGTTGAATCACTTCAAATTGTTGCTACCAAATATTATGGCCCTATATTATATTTAAAGAAATTGAATAATGATGAATCTGCATAAACGTATGCATGTTTCTCGCATTGTGAAAACACAACGGTACCTAAAGCCATACAATTTTGAATAACGTAGTCCTCCTCCCGAATATGGGCAACTGGAAGCCCGAATCTTGAATTTGGAATTAATTTTATTACCTATTTCATATTTTTTAAAGTTTAATGAATTTTTCATTAACAGACTCAATGATTTTAAAGCGAACAATGGCAACAAGCTGTACGGAATATTTTTATCTCCAGCGGTAGAGACTGTAGGAAATTTTAAAGATATGCTGTTTTTAAATATTTATAGCCCAAAGAGGCGTTTAGTCCAAATGCTCTCGAAACGTGTATGTATGTGTAAATGAAAAAACGCCCCTTTGGGCGTAATATAAAATCTGTTATAAGAATTGAATGTAAAGTCTGTTGTACCAATTGTATGAAAAGCGTATATAATAAAGTGTTTGGATATGTTCTATAGAAACGTCTTCGCGTTTTTTGTACTTTTTTTTAATTTCTGCTAAGTTTAACGAAAACTATATTAATCTTTAAAATTATGGACTTTTAGGATGTTAGGATCCACATTCCAGATTCGATTAAACATAGATACTGAAGTAATATGAATGGATTGCGTATTAACAGTAATGCTTATTTTTATATTTCTTATTCATTTGCAATGGGAGTGTTACAGTGCATATAAACCTTATAATAATATTACTATACATCCATATTCGTAGTGTTTCATTACCTCCTCTGATATAATTTTCATACCAATTCTAAGTACAGAATTTTGCTTTCACTTGCCAGTTGTCGATTTAGGATTGCATGATTAAACTGACGTGTGTTGTAGACAACACTTTATTGTGTGAATGAATGACTTTTACAGCACACGTCCTGCTCTGCATTATTGCCAATTCTTTCTCATAATTTGCGTCGCATCTAACCAGGAAAGAAAAAAAGAAGTATTTCGTCAAATCTGAGGTTCCTTCCGAGTGTGAACTTTTTAGACTGAACAGGGAGATCTTATTACGTGTATTCCTTAACTCGTTCACGAATAAAGTGCCGATACGATCTTACATTCAAACAGCCGCCCGTAGATCCAAGGACGGCATGCTCTTTTTTCACCCTCACCCTAAATTACGCAAGAACCTAAGGTGCAGTTTTCCGAAAATGCGTTCTATTAATTCATCAATATTGCGGGCAGTCTTGTAAAATGATTTCTTTATAGTTCCTTATCTTTAGGTTAAAGGTGATTTAATATATACTCAAGGGTGAATGAAGCTTCTTTCTTAAGAATTCAAAAGGATACCATTTGATTTCATAAGTTTTTGTTCGTTAATGGTCGAGGGTAAGAAATTGGTATGAATAATCAAATGGAAATTCAGGAGTTTCGCTATTTTAAGCAAGCAGATTTAGAATGGCCTTGGCCTTCTAAGGGTTAATGGGAACTTTATTCCTTAATGTGGATCTAACCATGAATCCCATAGGAGAGTTGCTGAGAAAAATTCCTCGAAACAGTTTGCTTTTAAACGAATGCATTCTTTTCCTTTCATATACATAAAGGCTCGTAATATCAAATAGCAACTGCGATTACCATTTCAGAGTCATCATTAGCCCATGAAAAGTAAGCATCAATAAAAAGCCTCTCCTCCACTCTTTATGCCGTCTTCTTTTCTTTTTCCCCCAGCTCCGAATAAAAATTGCGCTCTCCCTTTTCTTTTGTTAACCGTACTAATGATCTTCATTTAGAAAAGATGCAGTTGAGTTTTCTTAAGTCATTAAAGAAAGTTACTCGTAGAACTAATTTTTCTGGACGTTTAAAATAAATACAAAATGAGACGCTTAATTAAAAGAAGAGAGAATAATAGCTATTCGGCTAGACCTTACTCTCGATATGTAGATTTGTCAGGGTGGTTGGCATCTGAAAAAGATGTTGAGGTCGAGATTCTGATTAGTTTGAAAGTACACGCTGCAAAGAAATTAAGATAATTTTCATATTTGATTTACGATCTCCAGAACCATTGGACACATTTTAATAATACTTGGTGTGAACATAGGTTGATATACTGCAAACAAAATAAACACTCAACAGTTATAATAGACACACATGTTCGTGTGTAACACCCTTGGGAGTCTGAAGGTCTGAAACAGCGGTTGCTGAAGACACAAAAGAAATGGGTTAATAGGGGGTATAGTCCCCTCTTATAGCCATACAGTTTGCTTTTTAACGAATGCATTCTTTTCCTTTCATATACATAAAGGCTAGTAATATCAAATAGCAACTGCGATTACCATTTGAGTGTCATCCAGCAGCGTGATGTCATACCGGAAATAAGACAGTTTATCAGTGCCTGGTGGCAATTGGTCCCACTCATTCAGCAACGCTGTTTTCAGTTCCTGGATGGTTCTCGGAAGGGGGATGCGAGTTGAGATTGCCCTCCTCAGAGCATCCCAGACATGCTTTATAGGGCTGAGGTCTGGAAACCTTTAACCTTTCGTGCGTTACATTTATTTATTAAATGTTCTTTCTGGTCAAACCATCCGGCGAATATCCTCACTCTCGAGAAATTCGTCGAGCAGAGGAGCTCTATGTGGCCTCGCGTTATCGTCCTGTAAAATGAACTAGGAGTCCACTGCATCCCGAAAAAGGCGAACATAGGGATCCAAGACCTCATCCTTATACCTCATACCAGTCACAGAGCCTCTGTCAAAGACGTGGAGAAGTGTGCGGCCATCCAACATGATCCCTGCCGAGACCATTACAGCATCACCGCCATAATTGTTGATTTCGTGGACACTGGAGTGTAGGTAGCAGGTCCCTGATTCTCTCGATATGAAAGTACGGTGAGAATCGGTGTTTAGGCTAAAACGGGACTCGTCGGTGTTCCATAGGTTACACACAACGCTGGGCGTTAAATTAAACTCTCTGCATATCTGGAATTGCGATTTGCCTGCCTCTAGCCTCCCCACAATTCTCCCTCATTCCATCATCTAAACGTTGGTGGTTACTCATTTTTACTGTTCCGATGTGAATTTAACCGATTGCTGCAAAATAAAAGACACACCAGACGATAGATCTCCGACCCAGATCCATATTCTAGCGAACCCATACAGAGTTTAGATATCTATGGTCCAAGGGACCTCATCCTCGCGGGCGCAACCTCCGCAGTCCCCTCTCGGCTTTATACAAAGCACTGGTACAGATCCTAACCAGTATTTCCCAGGCGTTCGCCTGAGTCAACCCCCGGGAGAAATTCACCGAGTTGTGCTAGAACGCAATTCGTCTTACCCCCCACGCGCTGATGAAGCCTGTTTTCCTGCTGGCTCCGCCTATACACACGTGTACGCTTATGTATTTGCCGTACAATATTTGCATTTTTACCTAGAAGCAGTGGTTTTTCCTTCAGTTCAGTTCTTTTCATGCAATTCGATAAAATATGCAAATTCTCTTAATTTATTTCACCAGTGTAGTTGTCATGAGTAGTATGTCGAGCCAATGTAGTTGTCTGAGTTTGTTCCATTTCTGACTTTCTTCCATTTGTTGAACGTTGTGCTTTCTTGATCTTCACAAATTCCACTGAAAAAATCAGTGTTTTCCCCTCGAGGTTTTCTTAAAAAGATTTCTCGAAGATTTCGAAACTAAAAAAAAAAAAAAGGGGGGGGGGAAGAAAAAAAACCTGAAAGCTTTCTACATTTTACATTACGTCCAAACGGATTTTTTTTAACCTTTCGTGCGTTACATTTATTTATTAAATGTTCTTTGCACTTAAACTATAAAATTCAATTCAACAGCAATATCGCAAAATAATTTTAAAATGAGCATAACTTCAGAATTTCCGATGCACAGTCTCGCATGCTGGA